AACAGGGATTGGGTGGTTTTATAGATACACTTACAATGTATATGTTGTTTCGCCAGCTCAATAACCACACAATCAATAAAATTCAGGTTCCAAATGATCCCCATCCGACCACCAGTGATATGGTCAAAGTTTGTACTAGACAACCACCCGGGCCATCTATTACTTACCATGTTCCCAAAACTGATGGTGGACATCTTTGTCTCAAGAAAAGAAGCAATCGAAATATTATTAGTGCGCATAATATTTAAAACGGAATTTTGTTTTGAGTTCTTACCAAGACCCCTCACATTCCAACCGAGCACACACATAAATCAAGTGAGATGAAGGTCTGGGGATTTGCAGCCCCCGGAGGTGTTGCCCGTTTCATTAGGCGCCTTCCTTTTCAAAATTTCATCACTTTGCTCTTTTCCCTTCCTAGCGAGGAACTCCAAGTTGTGCCTAGCATTAATATAAAACAACTAGCAACTTTAGGAATAAAAATTAGTTTATTAATGACATACCATTGCTTTGATCGCACAACACCGAGGAGGGAGACAAGCAAGGATCCACGAAATTAATTCCCGGAATATTCGGATCCGGTTCTTTCAGAAAGTCCATTCCAAGTCTCAGGACCTTTAAGTACTTTATAATTTGATGCTTTTTCTTTACGTAGTCCACTTGCACACCCTCATCATCGGGTTCAAAGTTAGCAATGATATCATCAGGTTCCATTTCGTGGACACTAAGGAGTTGACGTCCCTCCCATTCCTCCTCGCTTTCCGTATTATATTTTTGGACCGGATACTTCTTTTTGTGGTCAATTGGTTTCCTAATATTCTTTTGAAGCAAAGGAAACACCGACATAATTATATCTTTCTCTGCATCCACCACTTCTGGGTCTCCACTCCCTTTCTTTTTCCTAGGCTTATGCCGAGGTGGAGGGAGGTAATGAGAGATAGGTTCATCATCGCTTGAGCCCTCCTTTTCTTTGTTAGAATTCTGACCGCCATCAGTAGTATTGGCAATGCTTTTGCAACGTTCAGAATTTCCCACAGCTTTTCCTTTAGGGTTTGGCTTCCGGCTCCTCCTACGTTTCACCACTTGGAACTCCTCTTCCATGGTTTCGGGCTCAACTCCGATCCATCCTTTTTCTTCTTAACCACTTCTTCATTTTCTTTGGCCTTTGTCTCAACAACATTGAGCTTTTGACAACTGAAAGCATGATGGCCATAAGTAGTGCAATGGTAACAGTAATTGGGATAAGTTTCGTAAACAAGACATTGTTTATGCATTCTCCCATTCGGCCAGCGAATCATGAATTCAAGGATAGGTTCTTTAGTAGCATACACCTCTATCATAACCCGAGCAAACTGGTCCCTCTCTCCTTGTTGGGTAATTTTATCTGTGGTGATAGGAATACCCACTTTAATTTGGAAGCTACTTCACCTTGAGGAACTCTTTGCTAGTCACGGAGAAATCATCATTTAGCACTTTACGAAAGAGAGCCTTGCCAAAGAGTGCATAGGGACCCTCCATCATAACTTTGTTCCTATCGGCTTCGTTTTGGAACTTGAAGATTATCCAACCTTTTGTCATGGGACCTAGGTTTACAATGCACGCCCCACTTTCCAATCAACTCATATATAGCTTTAAGTCCGGGAAAGCGACCTGCAAAATAACCTACCAAACAATACACCCACATATCTATAATAGATGGGAGATTTTTGTAAGAAAAATCAACAAAGTCACCGGTAGGAGGAATATACCTCAATTTGAATCCATGCTCAAGTGACCGGTTGACACTAAAGAGTGAGGATCATTGTTTCTTGGTATCATCCTTGTTCACCACCTTTTTAGTCACAACAATAGTCCCATCCTCTTTAGGAATAGCATTTGTTTCAAGCGAATCAATAGCCACATCATCCTTAGGAGTTTCATTGATAGACAATGATGTATCCTCCTTAGAAATTCCATTAGAAGTTGTATCATGTGTTCCAATAGTACATGACTCATCTTCAGTCACAATAAGAACATGATCACCCACAACCACCTTAGTCGGGGAGTTGTTAGTAGATCATTCATTCACTTGCGAATTGGCTTGTAAGGTGGCAGCACCTGTTTTGGCCTTAGCACTAACAACACTAACAATATTAGAAGAAGATGAAGGTTTAAAGGAGAAAGAGGTCTCACTCTTACCCTCCATACTCTTCTTAGCATCCAATTCAGCCTTTTTAGCATTTAGCTTCCTGACCTTATCATCAAAAGCATCATCCCTAGGGGGTGGCGTGCGAGCTTGCTTGTTGTTTCTCGTCATGGAGAAGCCAAAGAACAGTGCACGTGAAGTCCAAGAACGATTCAGAAAATTCTGAAAATACTCATGGAAGTTCCCCAGGTGATGGCAAACTCAATGCAAAACATCGTACTCAAAAACAATGAGCAGAAAAGCCACAGAAAAAGATTAACTAGTTCTGGAAAAACAGTCAAAGGTTGAAGAAGATGAACAGTAATGAAGAACACTAAAATAGCTCCAGAAATTACCAAACAAATCATAGAGGTAGCCAAGGTAAAGGCGATCAGCAAACAAGTGTTCGAATCCAAGAAAAAGTGATCAGAACAACCCTAGAAAATTCACAAGTGACTTGCACATGCGCACAAAGTACTGTAGCGAATTTGAAGGGGGGGGGGGGGCTGAAAACTTACTCAAATTGGACGAAACTGGTGCCAAAAGCTTCGTCTCAGCAAGGCGAGTCCAAAGAAACCTTCAAAATTTGATTTGGAAGTGTAGCTTGGGAGCTACGAACACAAAAAAAATAGGCTGCTGTGAACAGTGATGCGCACAACGGCTCTTTGCTAACTCCAGCCAAACAGCACATCCGGCCACCGGGAAAGGGTTGGGGAGGTGCGCCTTGAGGTGGCGACCCCCACAACACTCTTTGATTCCAACAGAAACCGTCCAGATATGGATTAAGATCAAAAATCGAAAACTGTGAACAGTAAATTCCTGTGCAAAAACTTCATAAATCTGTCGTGTCCCAGCTAAAAAACCCAAAACTTCCAAATCCAATCGGTGGAAAGGAAAGAGGAGGAAACTCCGAGCTAGAAGGAACAAGATTTAGGAAGAAAGATTGAGCAAAACACCACAAGAAAGCAGCTGAGTCCGTGCGAGCTAAGAGGAAAAATGACCGTTAGGATTTTTCTTCTTAGTGAAAGAAGCTCCCGTGCGCAGACCTTTCTGAATTTACATTTGATATTTCATGGAGTTGCATCATCTTATGCGTGATTTACATCTCCATGTACGTGGGTTACATTGTCATATGCACGAGTTACATTTGGACTTGCCTCATCAAGTTACATTTCAAATACACGTGAGTTACATTCTCTATCAGCATGAGTTGCATTTTTTTCATAACACGAGTTACATCACAAAATAAACACCTGCTATTGAAACAAAAACTCATTTTTATGCGTGCTTTAGCTGCGGGGGTATGATTTTTTTTAAATATATCATTATTATAGCCGTAATATTAAAAACAAATAGTATTCACTATTTACGTAGAGTAATTGGGTAAATTAGTCTCATTTTTTATTGTTTACATTCAAATCAATGTTTTATTTCTCATATTTTGCCATATCTAGGTCATCTTCTTTTGATGAGTCGCACATCATTTTATGGACAGTCACTCAACCTATCTCCTAGCCATTTTTGTGATGTCGTGGAGTTCATGTTATATTTGTCAAGCTGCTCACATACGAAGACCGGTTTTGATCATCCCCTCAGCAGATGGTGACCATTGCAGTTGCACACAGCGGCCGAAGGGCTCCCCTTTTATTTTATTTTGAGGGTATCCACCATACTCTTTTTCACTTACTGTGATTTTTACCCACATGATTTATTACTTGGTGAGTTTTTAACTAGAGAACAGGAGATTGTCCAAGGTTTACTGTGCATTTGAAGGCAAGGATTGAAGTCAGGCTCCTAGCAGCGGAGGTAATTTGGAACCAGTCATCGGGTTCTCAATTCTTGCTGATTGTGCGTTTCAGGGATGCTGCTTGTGCGATTCAGCGGAGTAACAATTTTGAGGCTTGATTTTTCATTGTTTGTTTTGGAAATTTTGGTTTTATTGGTGTCTAAGATGGAAGCTATACCTGCGGTGTTTGATCCCGGAGGAACACCGGCGAGTTGGGGACCAATGAAAGGGGCAAGTCAGTGTTTGGCAATCCGGGGTTGTTTGGCAGCCGTAAACGGCAGAGATCATCTAGCCATGGATAGATTGATGAGGTGGCATGGATAATTCCCGATACAAGTGATGAAGGAAGAGCAAAGAGTGAGGTTGATTCGTCCCCCTCCTGAACCGTCGCCACAGAAGAATTGGGGTTTTAGGGGTTGGAGGAAGATGCTTGAAGGATGGAATCAACTGGTCCAACACTTGAAGATTATTTACTTGTGCTATTTTCGGATTTCTATTTCTTATTTTGTTTTAATTTTGTTAAACAATAATGGCAGTAGGTGTGTTGTTTGGTTTATTCTAGTTGCTAGATTTTTGTTTGGAGGCAATCAGGCTGACTTAGCCGTTAATAGCCTTGAAGCTCTCACATGTTCAGTGATTAGTCTCGGTCTTTTTGGGGTGGACTACTCTATGTCTCACCAAGGCGTGAGGGGGGCAGTGGGCTTATGGTTAATGTTGGTTAGAAGGAGATTAGGTCTTTTTTGTTGTTGCTCGATTGTATTGTTTTCTCGGTTACACGCTAAGAGTATTGATTAAATATAATATGTCAGTTTCCTTTCAAAAAAATTGAACAACTCGGTTTAGTTCAGGAGCCTATTTGACCCCTTAAATTGCCATGTGGGTTGCATGATTGGCATCTGATCTGGTGACATGGCAGTGATCGAACTTTCACCTGCAAAAAAATGAGATTTGAACTTTTTTGTCGAGTTCAGAGGGTGAATTGGAGCTTTTTAGAGTTCAGAGGGCGAATTGAGCATTACGGACGGGTACAGGGGCCTATTTGACCCTTTAGCCAAAAAGATAAGATGTGTCTGCTAAAAATAAAAATAAAAATGAATACCGAAAAGGAAATATTACAAAAGGAATACGATAATGAAATAATATACAACAAATATAAGAGTGGCCTTCTCAAACCCATATTACGTTTATACTTCCTCCGTCCCTAAAAGGATTGCCAAGTTTGACCGGCACGTAGAATGATAAAGTAAAAACTATGTGGTAGAGATTTGTGCAGAGGAGAAAGATGTAACAGGAACCACAAATTGATTGACTAAAAGGGAAAGTGACAAAGTTTTGGGGACAACCAAAAAAGGAAAGTTGACAACGTTATAAGGGACGTAGGGAGTAGCATATACTACGTGTACAATACACAAATACATACCACACCGATGTCTATGACCGTTCATGCGTATGCTTATGATAATCAATATAGCAAATGAGCTGAATAGGAGTAAGGACGTTTCGAAATTCCAAAATAGGACTGTTATGTTTTTATCCTTAAATATGAGTAATTTCTGTCAAATTTGGAAAAAACTTGACAGATATTGCCATGTTTCAAGCCTCATAATACCAAGCTTGGCAAAAACTTGGCAGAAACTGCCATGCTCCTATTTTGGGTAATTTCCCCGTAAAATTTAGATTCTCTTCTTAGATTTATGTCTTCTTCTTCTTCAAGCTTTCTGAGTTCCATCTTTACTTCCGGAATTATTGAAGAGTTTTCCACCATTGTTGTAATGTTAACCTTAAACATGACCTGCAATGGTGGTAAGCAATCTCAGAGCATCAGTTTCTTCAGATAAGTCAATTTCATCCTATCATTCTTCTGGTGTTTCCTATTTTTCTCTATATGCCGGAAACAAATTCAGATTCAAGTCCACGCTCATCTCATAATTTTCATAATTATGATTTCCTTGATGATCCACTTTTCCTCTCCTCTTCTGATCAACCAAATCTGAGATTGTAGACAATATATTTGATGGATCGGATTTCCTTTCCTGGAAAAGAGGTCTCCATAGCTCTTGCATCTAAAAACAGATCTGGATTCGTTGATGGAACTTGTCATGCACTTGAGAAGACTGACAAAAGGTATCATCAGTGACTAAGATGTGATCATATGGTCATGAAATGGCTACTTAACTCCATGGAGAAAGCGATCGAAGAGAACTTGATGTATTCTAATACATCAAAAGAACTATGTTCAGAATTATTAGAGAGATATGGTCATACAAATGGATTGGAAATTTTTCAGCTCAAGAAGGAAATTAGCAATCTCACGCAAGAGAATCAACCACTCATTCATTACTATTATAATCTTAAAAGAAAGTGGTAAGATATAGATAGTTTGGATCCAATTTCAAACTCTATGTGTAGAGCACTCGATCTGTGCACATGTCAATTGCTAAAACGAGTGCTTGACAAGGAGAATCACTCTAAACTCATTCAAATGTTGATCGGACTCGATTCTGGCTATGAAAATGTGAAGATCACTATATTGTCCATGGAACCGCTCCCACCTATAAACAAAGCGTTATCACTGCTAGAGAAGATTGAAAAACAAAAACAAATCAGTGATGGACTTGATGTGCCCACACAAGAAAATGATTATGCTTCTTCATCTTCAGAAGGAATCAATAACAATAGAGCTGAAGATCATAGGAGAGATGTATATTGGAATACCATAAAAAGAATCAAAACTGGAGATGATGACAATTTTGGTTTTGTTGGAGCTTCAAAGAAGTGCACACATATTGTTATCAAAAGGGACACAACAAGGAGGAATGCTTTAATTAGTTGAACGCTCCTACTGTGGCAGAAAAGTACATTAGAAGGACCAATGCTATAAGTTATATCATGGAAAGAATCTTAGAAATAATGGATATTCTAGTCAATTCAAAAGAATTAATCCAGGAAGTATCAATTTCAGAAAGCTGGAAGTGTTCATGTGCTTGATAATTCTAAAGAAGACACACCTCTGGAAGACACTCCTATGATAACAAATCGAAATAATCGAGACACGGCAATTGATATGAATGGATTGATCAACACAATTGTTCAACAAGTGATGAAAATCATTTCTGAAAAGGGGTGCAAATGTTCAAATCCATCTATAGCTATGAACTTTGCAGATAAATCATCAACTTCATGTGTTTTTTAGCTAATAAAGTTATTCATCAAGATGGGATAACAAGGAGTGTTTGATCATATGACATCTAAAGTAAATTGGTTGCATGATGTTAAATTTTGAGAAAACCAACTATGATAGGACTGCTGATGGTTCAGTCAAATATGTTCATATGATTCAAAAGATTCAATTAACATAAAAAGTTGTTCTTAACAATGTTTTGGTTGTTCCCGATTTTCAGCAAAACCTATTGTTAGTTGGTCATTTGATTGAAAACATTACTCGAATGTAATTGTGTTTTCACGTGAGTGCATCATACAACCTTTCAAATAAACTCATTCTTAACACATCACAATAGAGGAGAGGAGATCTATATCAATTTCATCTAGATCAGTCTGTTAATCACACAAGTATCAATGCATACATTTCGCGTAGTTCTTCTAATAATAGTAAACATTTTACTATGAATAAATGTACGCATGATGATGTTGCAATACTACATGCTAGATTAGGACATACTTCCTGAGAAAATTTGTCTGGAATAAAAGAGCATTTCTATAAATCTTGTGTTTTAGCCAAGCACCATATGTTACCTTTTTATTGAAGTAATTTTAATGCTAAAGGATGTTTTGATTTGTAACACACACAATCGTTCAGTAAGAGATCAGTAACGATTAAGGGACGTATGCTCGCTCGTTTTGGCAATAACTTAAGAACTTGCTGCATAAGAGATCAGCCCGGTTCTTTAAATTATTGTCCTCTACGCCGCGAGAGCGGTAAGAACTTAGTATTGATCACCGTTGCTCAATTAAATAATTTTCATGTGATTAAGCCTGATCATCCCCAAAATCTGATTACCCCGTAATCAATCCTTGTTCTCTTCTGTCATTAATTAGAAAGAACTCTTTAATTTAGTTGTTTATTCATATTTTAATTTTCCAAAAAACCAAATCTCGCACAATTGCATTTATTTTATTTATTTTAATTGCTGAATTTATTTAATTCCTTATTCCCTTTTTCCGTCCATGTGGAGACCATACTCGTACTAAAACACTTTAATACTACATTTTTATTAGTGCGAGAAAACTCACATCAGCTGCCACGACGCCGTATAGTACCACTGCCTCTGTGAGGAGTGCCACATCCGTTTCTGGTTTGGAGATCACCGGAGTTCCCCTGCATTGCCCTGCGTCGTCCGCACCCGAAAGTAGAAGACTACTACGAATGGCTTCATTTTTTACTGGAGATTTCTCTAAATAGGACTAAATAAAATCAAAATTGCAACAATATGAGCTTAAAGTTTAAATTTCAAGAATATGGACTAACTCTTCCTACTCTACCCTTTCCCTTGTCATTCTTAATAGGATTTTTAAAACAATAATAGTAAAACATAAAAAACTTAAAATAAAATAAAAATTAAAAAACATAAAAACTAAATAAAAACTATACAGGCCTCAACCACCACATCAGCTACCTGCTAGCACCAACACCTCCTCACGCCGGAAAAGAATGTCAAATTGAAAAAAAAAAGATCATCATGATGGCACTTTTAAAAATAAAGTTGAATATTATCAAAGAGTAAAATGACATCTTCATGGCGTTTTCATAGGAATGTGAAATTTTTACACAAGATAACATTTTTTCCAGCATTCGGAGTTGGTGGTGCTAGAGGGTGAAGGATTTGGTGGCAGTGACCTACATATTTTTTAATATTGGTTTTAGGTAATATTTTATTTTCAAGACTTTTTTAACTTTTTTTAAGTATTTACTATTTTTATTTTGTTTTATTTTATTTTTCAAGTTTTTTGTATTACATCTGTCCCACTCAACTTTGCCAAGTTGATGTTAGGTGGGAAATTAGAATAGTAAAATTTGTGTGGTTGAGGTTTGTGCAGAGGAGAGAAAAATGAACAGAGGCACAAAAACATTTCTATTGAGATATTAGGGTCCGGCCCAATAACACCGGGCCAGAACATCCCAAAGGCCCAAGAACAGGGTAAAGCCCAGAAGGAAGCAATGACGAACCGAACGAGATTAGGGCAATTAAGGGAGAAACCCGATTGGCACATCCTGAACGGGACTTAATCCATACTTGGATCACAGAATTATCCTGGGCTAATGATTTGGTGGGTCCTAATGCCAATCGGTGAGTTGCACAAGTGGCAGACTGCATTTAATGCTGGAGTATGGATCACAAGTGGGAGCATTGGAGCACGAGTAGCATGGAAAGCAATCAATCACATTGGAGCACCTCATACCTCTCACCTACTCACTCTTAGTATAAATAGTACGGAGTAGCATTTATTTCATTGAAAAGGGTTAGAATTTGTTTACTCACTAGCTCACATAGCATTATAGCTCTTGTATTAGCTTTTGGACCGTAACTACCGTTCGGCCATTTCCTTGTAATTGTTATTACTGCGTTAATACAAGCAAATCTACTTGATCAAGATTAATCAGTTTTTATATTTATTTTATACACTCGTCACCCTATCAATCATTCCCTATATCCCAAGGTTGGTATTGGGCCTTCAGGTTCATTCGAGACTTATATTCAACAATTGTTTTAAAAGGAAAGTAAGAAAGTTTTTTGAAACAAACAAAAAAGGAAGTTGACAAAGTCAGTGGGACGGAGGGAGTATTAGTTGATATATTTCCTTTTTATATTTTTATTATAAATGAAACCATGATTTTTCTTATTAATAAAATAAATCTATTAGAACTTATAGGAAGGGGTAGAATAGAAAGAAGGGATACATATTACTCCTATTTTGAAAATAAAAATGGGGCCATTCGTTGCGTTTAGGTTAACATTAGTCCTATTTATGGCTAATAGCCATTCTTTTATTTTAATTGGGATGGGCTAGGCTGTTTTAATAAGTAGTTTGGGCCACAGGAACTATAATTCTGGGCTGTGTTTTGTGTAATGTTCATTCGAATGTTAATGCCTATACTAATGCTTGTACTAATACTAATACTGATGATGATATGATGATATCAAAAATAATTACTACATATGTTGGGATATTGACCTAGAGGCCCAATACCCAGGTCGGGAAGGTCCAAGATATCCGGCCCAAGCAACGGGCCCATCACTCTATGGTGAATAGATCCAGTAAGAAGAGATACCGAACGGAGTTCGGCCCAAATAAAGGTTGGCCCAGTCAGAAGACATACCGAACGGAGTTCGGACTATATATCATACTTGGGCCAATTTGACAGCATCTTCAGTACAGCCCAACATCTCGTTCGAGCAACGGCCAACCAGCAAGTGGCCAGGTGCAATTAATGTCAGACTGTGACATCAGCAAGTGGAAGCATGGATGACCAAGTCGATGGAACAACGGCCAATCAGCAAGAGGCAGCCCATGCTCTCCATTAGTATAAATAGAAGGTTTCAAGTCATTGTAAGGGTTAGCATTTCAATACTCAAGCTCTAGAATAGCATCATTTGCTCTTATTTCTTGTATTAAAGCATAGTTTCCGACTTACCGATCGGGAAATTCCTTGTAATCAGATTGGTTAATTAATACAAGTGGGCTTTCGAGTTTTAGTTAGTTCAGATCTTATATTTTCTTATACGCTTTGATTCTGGGTCATTCCTGATATATCCAAAGTTCGTGTTGGGCTTTCGGATCTACGGGACTTACCCTCAACATTGACGCCGTCTGTGGGAAACTCTCAAAAAGTTTCACTTTCAAAACATCCAAAAAACCTCTATTTTTCAAAAATGGTCAGAATCAGTTCCTATCATACAAACGACGGTTCACACCGTCACGGGAGGAGTCACACCCCGGGGAGTCAAAACCCTCAGGGACAATCCAGTCGAGGATCGTATCCTCGTTTTAATGGGGATTTTGTGATTCCCGAATCTCTGAGAAGGAATCCTCAGGCCATGCGTGACATGGCCCAATTCATGCAGCATATGGCGAACGAAGAGGAAGGAGTTTCCAGCTTTACAGGAGAAACTCCACGCGCGGAAGCAACCACAACGTCATCCCATTTGCATGCCCATCAGGATAATCGACGTAGCACCCCACCAGCAGCGCATCCCAGTTCCAGTGACCGAACCCAGGTCGGGTCACAAGCTAGAGGACCAACTCCCGTCGGTCATCATTTCCAGTATGCCGAGCGGGAAAATAATAGGGCCCCTCAGCGGCATTGGGACCAGGACTGTACGGATATGAGGGTTCCACCACCGCCCCCTTTGACGGCCCAGAAGGAAGAGATGACCGAGATGAGGAGGCAAATGAATGAAATGCGGGACCAGATGAACAGGGTACCTGTACAACCTGCACCAGTTCAGCTGGGAATTACTTCCCCGTTCACTAGGGAGCTCATGTACGCGGATATCCAAGGGGGTGCCAAGCCCCCGACCGGCCAAATTTACGATGGGGTGGGAGATCCCCACGTACATCTGAGGAGTTACCAAGGGGGACTTATGCTGCTAGGAGCACCCGAGGCCGCCATTTGCCGGTTGTTTTTCAGCACGCTCAGGGGGCCTGCCCAGGAATGGTTCGGGACACTGCAACCCGGGTCAATCAATAATTTTGCCGAGTTATCAGCGTTATTCTTGGCTCAGTTTGCTTCCAGTGCCAATCCCAAACGGCACTTCAGCTATTTAACCAGCGTGAAGCAAAACGCCAAAGAAACCCTCAACCAGTTCCTGAAAAGGTGGAGGGATGAGACTTTAACAGTGGGAAACATGACGGATGATACCGCCATTACCCTGTTCACGAATGCTCTCCGAACAGGGGAGTTGTACAAAGAACTGAAGAAAAATCCGGGTACGGTGTACGCCGAGGTATTAGATAGGGCCCGCAAGCATGCCGCCCTAGAAGAGGAGATAATGATCAGGGATAAGGTCATTACGCCTGCTGCCCCTATCAGAATGGCCGATCGGCTGGGTGCTAGCCCAGCGGCCGCTTTACCTCCCAAACAAGGGAGATTTACACCCCTGGTCCTATCAATAGCGACCATCTATCAGCACGAGAGGGACAATATTCCCATCCCGACTGATTCTGGACAGTTCATGGGAACGGATGACAATGCTTTCTGTAAATATCACAACAGAAAGGGTCATGCCACCAATGCCTGCAGGGCCCTACAAACAGCAATTGAGGATCTGATCCGAAGGGGCCATCTGGGCAAATATGTGAACAAAGATCCGAATGTTATGGGCACGTTGAAACCGGTCAGGAAACCTAATAGCTGGCGCCGGGATGCTCAACGTGACGCCCAGCCTCAAAATGATGCGTATGTTCCTCCCAGGGATGAGCCAGAGGGCTCGGGAGGCCCTGGAAAGAAGCCTCGAATGGAGGTCAAGGTCATATTCGGGGGCGGGGAGACCGGAGATTCGAACGCCGAACGGAAAAGGTTCGAGCGAAGTCTTTATGTGGGATCCGTCTCCACCCCCCCTCAGAAGAAAGGAAGGACAGACCCGATCACGTTCGGGCCAGCTGATCTAC